GTCCCTTTACCTTTTTGTTGGGTTACGGCGGCGACTACTCCACCCTCTGAAGTATCGCCGCCTGCCTCTGCACCTACTCCTAACTGGAAGTCGTTGTCCAACTCAATGGTTGAGCCATCGTGGTCGACAAACATAATGCGACCTTTCGCTTTCCAGTTGGGAGGCAGTGTCTTCTTCTTCCCGTCTGTGACTGAGTTATGTCCATGCCCTATCTTTGCTTCTAGGTCTAGGGCCACCTTGCTGAACGAAGAAAAGTTGTGCATATTAATGTTGGCCTCTTTTGCCAACTGGTTCCTGAGTGGCAGGGATAAGGTCCTAAGGTACGAAGTTAGCAGGACCTGGGGGTCATAGTGTACCCCTGGGACACAGATCAAACGCTCTACAGCGTCGGTGGCCTCCCTTACTGACTTAAACTGCCTCGTGTGCAGTGTCAGGATCGCATCAGTGGCCCTTTGAGCCTCCTGCGGATCATCCCACCTGTCTTCCACCATTTTCAGGAAGTCCTCCAATTTTTTAGAGGCTGCCCAAGAGCGGAAGTCATGACCGTACCCCTGAAGTTGCACTAACCCACTCAACCATCTCGCCGCACTACCTTCTAGGTAGGAAGCAGCCACAAGCACTTCTTCGTGTGGCAAGGTGAGTTTACACCTGACGTAGACTGGCACCGCCCTCAACCAAGTGTCGAGGTCTTCGCCTCTCTTGTCTCCTGTAAAAGGTTTGGGAGCGGCGATGGCCGTCTTTGGAACCCACTGACTTTGTCCCGGTCCTTGCACCAACCCGGGCTGTGGACCCGGCGATACAGGTTGTTGTGCTAGCTGCTGGGGCTGTGTGCCCTGAGGTTGCACTAACTGCGAGACAGCAGGCTGCGTGGTGACTGCAACCTGTGACGGACTTGGAGTAAACACTGTCTGAACAGGAACCTGCAAACTACTCCTTGCTGTTACCCCTCCTGACAGCGGCATGCCCAGGGAAACGATAGCAACCGATGAAGGGGCTACATATGGGGATACCCCAGTCACCGGTGGAACAAAAAGAGGAGGATATGGCACGGACCAGGCACCAGGCCCCGCTGGTGATGGTGCTGCCTGAGCACGCCCTGCCAATACGGCTAGGCTTTGTTGAATGTCCTGAAGGAGGGTAGTTTGATGCTCCTGCATCTCAATTACGCCTAGCAGGGCCCTCCTAACTACCTTCACATCCTCATCCATATGCGTCAGGTCCATCGTCTCTAACTCCTCTATGCCTGTCCCTCTCTGTTGCATCCTGGCTCTTCTTCTAATCATCATATCTTTCTCTCTTTTTATCTTTCCTAATGCCTGCTGTAGCTGTGCCTCTTGCAGGGATGCCTGCTGGATGGCGACATCCTCTGGGGACAACAGTGCGGGCTGGCTTGCCATTAAGCCAGTGGACTGACTCACGCTCTGCACGACCGTGGACCCGGCGGTACCTGAACTTCCGGCTTGGGAAGTCATGGCTGTAGTAGCCATGGCTGCTATAGCACTGGCCTCTCTAGCAAATGCCCTGCTGGCCTCGGCTGCTCTAGCTCTCCTTTCCCTTTGTCGGTGGAACAGTTCCCTATCACCTTCCGGTCCTAAAGACACATGGGATACCGGTCTTCTAGCCGATCGTAAAGTCCTGCGGTCGTCCTCTCTGGTGTCCTCTACGCCGCTCATAGGCTACAGCACTGTGCACTGTCCACACTAGATCATTTTAGATGCCTACCGCAGTTTAGTACACAGACCAACTAATTAGTGGTGGCTTTCAGAACAGATCTCAGTTGGGGTCAACAGGTAAGTGAGGTTCCTATTGTCAATACTATTTTTAGCAAGATTAGTTCCCAAACAGAGAATACATCAGGAATAAATAATATTCTAAACTAATGTTGTCTGTCAGATGTCACATGACTGTCCATCTACTAATCAATAATAAAAATAATGTTGACTAACCGGGTCGGTGCATAGCATGGAATTAAACTTGAACTTGTCACCTGGAACCTACCCCTCCCTTTGTTCTTCTCAATGTCTCGGTGTCACGTCCCTAAGCATCTGAAGCCAAGCGTGTCTGAAGGTGTGCAATCCGGTCCCACCCCTGTGCCCCGGGTTATCGTCGAGCAAGGCAGCCACAGCACTCTTATTTACCCTCGTACGCCGACGAGCCTTCCACTCGGATGATCTGGCTGATCAAGAGGCAATTTAACGTCCGCCCCCAAGTGACATCAGGAATTATTTTACGTCGCAGCAGGACGACGATCACAGCCAGATCAGAG